ATGGCCTCCAATCGCGCCAGGTGCAGGCGTTCTGAGAACACCACACAAAAAGGCATCCAGTAGGGTGGTCCACCACCCTCTCCGCTTGGCTCAAACCCAGGCAGGGCATACACGAGGTATCCGGATCCCCAGGGGGGATGCCACCATCACACCTGTCACAAAGGGAAGTCATAAGCTCAGCCAAACCAACAAGGCCACAGAGCAGGGGTCCGACACCCTGGGAGAGCTTATGTCGTGACCCGCTTGGAGGAATAGGAACCTGGTGAGGGATAAAAAAATAAAATAATGCAATATTACCTAGCCGGTTTAATATCCAAGCAGCAACAACAGCACCATTTGATGGAGTAACTCCATTAAGGAACTCCAGAGTTAATGTCTCAACGTAGTGGAAAGCCCACCACGATACTCTTACATTCTGCAGGGGAAAGAACAAGATAAAACCCTGCAGGTTAATTAGCAGAGAACCCGCGCCTACGATGCGGGGAGCAGCATGTTAAAGCAATTCACAACACACATGTAGAATAAGCCAGTCGGCAAGTTGTGTAAGGTAAATTACAGTTTGTGCAGCAAAAGCCACCATACTAATGGATGCACACGGAGTCGTAGTGTAACGCAACACAAGTACGACAAACCACGGGCGGAAGATACAGATCAACCGCGCGCAGCGAGTGGAGCACTAAAGAGGAGGTGCTGGCCATGTGGCCAGCTGCTCCAGGCTGCAAACAGCCAGTGAGTATACTTCCATGCAAGATATTACACTTAACAGTGACTTACCAAGCGAACTTCAGAAAGCTTGTACCTCAAACCATACGGACGTCCGCCGAGAAAATGAAAGAGAACGTGTTGCGGCCATGGGGCCTATATATAGGGGTGCACCCCAGCCATGACACAGGTGTACACGGGAGTAATCTGTAAATCTTCACCTCAGATGTATCCCTCCACCGCAGAGTGATACCAATATATTGGAGTGATCCAATTTAGTGAAACATAACATCTTCTTCTTCTTTCGTAGCGTTCGCACATTTTGTTAGTGCATGCCGCCACCTACTGTGCGGGAGTGTGTGGTTAATCATGTTACATTTTGTAATACAAAAATAAAGGAAAGAAATGCACCACCAACTAACCCTACACCTATATACCATTATTTCATAAAATAAATGATAATAAAAACCCTTCCAACTAACCCTACACATTAAAAACCCACCACCTTATTCCACTACAAGAAACAAACAAATCCTTATCCGACATAGGCCTACTATCATCATCCACTCCAATTATAGACATCTTTCTTTTTGCTCCATTATTTCAGCTTTCTTTTGCTCCATTCTTTCAGCTTTCTTTTGCTCCATTCTTTGATTATACTGTTTTCCATTCATTATCAACTTCACTCGAAGCACTTCTCGATTCACACTTGATATCCATTTCAGTCTCTCAACTGAACTGAAAGCAGCCATCAAACAGAGCTGCGTTCAAGAGCACTACTTATCCTGTGTTACTGGGTTCTGTAATATGGTTTAATCTCAGGCAGGGAGAGAAATGTTACCCCAATCTATTGTATGCTCTAAGCATGTTTCAACACAATTATTTGATGTGTATATACTTATGCTGATATATGATTTATTACCTGAATATGTGTATAACGTGTATTTCACGCCTGTATATAAGATAATTGTACCAGTGAATTGTGATTGGTCTAAAATGGTACAGTCCAAGGTGAGGCCTGATGGGATTATATTTAAACCCTGGGAGAATCTCAATTGCATACTCCTCGCGTCCTCTCTCCTCCCTTCCTTCTCAAAACCCATTGGATGACAAAGCCAGAGGTCCTGCCCATCTGACCTTCTCCTCCAACAGGTTTTGAGAAGGAAGCGAGGAGTATGCAATTGAGATTCGGCCCCTGTCATTTAATTGTTGGAGAGACAGAGGTAAAGTGCCAGGCTGGCAGTATGCTATATTGACAGGCAATATCTGTGAAAATTAATGAAGGTCTGTCAAGAGAGGCTATGCACTGTATTTTATAGTTTTGACACATTTATTTTGTATGCTGATATATTACATGTACGAATTTTCCTACCATAGGCTATTCTGCTGTGTGCCACTGAATTATTTCTTAATGATCAACAAAGTATTACATGAAAATATCTGTATATATCAGGTGTGCAAAAAAATATATAAATAATTACCACAAACTTTTATGAAATAAAAATATGCAAACCCAGTCAATAACACAGTCTGGTCTGTCCCTCTGCATTCTACTTGTTTGGTTCACTATTCCATCCGGCTCCTTGATCATTTCAGTGTTCTGTCTGGCTTGGTGTTCTGTTTGTCAAAGTGTTCCGTCTGGCTCTGTGTTCTGTTTGTCAAAGTGTTCCATCTGGCTCTTTGTTCTGTTTGTCAAAGTGTTCCGTCTGGCTCTGTGTTCTGTTTGTCAATGTGTTCCGTCTGCTCTGTGTTCTGTTTGTCAAAGTGTTCCATCTGGCTCTGTGTTCTGTTTGTCAATGTGTTCCGTCTGCTCTGTGTTCTGTTTGTCAAAGTGTTCCATCTGGCTCTTTGTTCTGTTTGTCAAAGTGTTCCGTCTGGCGCTGTGTTCTGTTTGTCAAAGTGTTCCATCTGGCTCTGTGTTCTGTTTGTCAAAGTGTTCCATCTGGCTCTTTGTTCTGTTTGTCAAAGTGTTCCGTCTGGCGCTGTGTTCTGTTTGTCAAAGTGTTCCATCTGGCTCTGTGTTCTGTTTGTCAAAGTGTTCCTTCTGTCTGATTGCCCCATATTTCTGGTCATTGGCTCCATAAGCAGTAGTAAGTACAGTACGCGGCAGGTAGCCTAGCGGTTAAGCGCGTTGGACCAGTAACAAAGAGGTTGCTGGTTCGAATCTCCGAGGCAAGTAGGTCAAAAATCTGTTGATGTGCCCTAGAACAAGGCACACAATCCTAATTGCTTCTGTAAGTCCCTCTGGATAAGACTGTCTGCTAAATGACTCAAATGTAAGTTCAATACCCAAACAGGCCTATAGATGTCATGTGAAGGTTGGAATGTGGACCAGACTTCAACAGGATCATCTAAGCTGAACAAATCAGTTTCCCACACTGTCCTTAAAATAACACCCTTCTCAGTTTGGCAACTCTGAGGACTTTGTTAAGCCAACAAGTACAAGCGCCTCATCCATTCTTGAAAGTAGTGGGTGGTTTAGTAATGCTTCCAATGAAATAATAATAACCTATTTTCTGTTGGAAATACCAGCGTAAGATGAATAATTGAAAGTGGCACTACGCTTCATTGAACTGAGTTGCTCTTTATTGAGTCACAGGGACAACCAATGGATTGTCCTCACAAGGCCAGACAACCAGAGAGACAAATTACGTTAATTTCAGTTTGTTTTGAGAGTGTTTAAACAAACATTTGGTTTTTATATGTCAGGACTTTAATTTACTAATAAGTATGATGGATTGTGGAGATTTACATCATAGCACCCTTAGTTCAACTGGTTCAGAAGTGTTGAATCAACATTGTTTCCACGTCATTTCAATGAAATTAAATTGATGTCTCTGTCCAGTGGGTTGCAACATATCTCCTCCCTCTGGAAATGAGTCCTGAATGACCAAAGTAGTCTGAGTAGTACCAGTCTGTTTAGCTTTAAAGCCTTTATCATTCCATTCCTTGCCACTGTGTCATATGATCATCTTTGGAGTGTAATGGTAGCCAATCAGACTGGCATCCAGACTATGATCAATGACTCTGACTACCTGGCACACTGCTACTGGATGTGTAACTGTGTGTGTGGTGTGTGAGTGTGCAAATGTTTTTTCATATTTCATTTGAATTTGATTAAAAACCAATCATAGCATCCCCTCCTCTCAATGAAGGCTGTTTCTTTTGTCCTGCCTAATGTGTGTGTGTGTGTGTGTGTGTGTGTGCCTGCGTGCGTGCGTCTGGGGTGGGGGGTCGGTGGGAGTGCTGACATGTAAGCTCTTTTCCAGCTAATGTTTTGTGAAATTCTCTAGAAGAGGCCTGCTGTCCAAAAACATTTTACTTGGAAGACTTCGTTTAAATTCCTTCTACTCTGGTATGTGGTCTCTCGATTCATATTCACTGAGCTCAGACCATATAAGATATCTCTTACCATGATGCAGCAGACAGACACTAAAATGGAGACAAGAAGAGCAACTCAGTAAAAACAAACTGTTTATCTCAGAAATTCACTGCAACCAAAGAAGAAGAAGAAGAAGAAGAAGAAGAAGAAGAAGAAGAAGAAGAAGAAGAAGAAGAAGAAGAAGAAGAAGAAGAAGAAGAAGAAGACTGCAGCTGGCTTACTAGTATTCCCTCTGATACAACAGCCACACTGCAACTACAGTCTACAGAGTCAAGATCATCATGAATACTGCAATGACTGTTATCGTTCTTCTGGTCTGCTCAGATGTCATCTACATGATACAAGGTAACTGTAGAACTTTTGATGACAATGAGTATTATGTTTGAGTATTTAGTAGAACTTTGAACTTATACTGAGTGTACAAAACATTAAGGACACATGTGGGAAACATTGGAGTCAACATGGGCCAGCATCCCTGTGGAACGCTTTTGACACCATTCCCTGACATATTGAGGCTGTTCTGAGTGCAAAAAGGGGGGATGCAACTCACTATTAGGAAGGTGTCCTTGTTTTGTATGCTCAGTGTATATCTAACTATACAATTATGGACTATGGGTGTGAACTACGTTATTATTTGTCTTACAATTTACACTAAAACATTAAGGCCGGGATTCACTCCTTATAACGTTGTCGATAATGCACCTTTTAAAGGCAATGTTACCTCGTTGGTTGAGATCATATTTAAGGTACAGTAAACGCTGCAGATGTCAACTCAATTGGATATTATCTTTAAATGTCAAGCGCGCTGTAACACGGTTTCAGATTGAATCCCTGTCTAAAACTAGATTAGGAAATTGTTGATGAATGTATAGGGAGACTAAAGTGTTTTGTTTGACTTTCGCTATTTTCTCTACAGGGAGAGTTATAGCAGATCCTCGATGTCGCTGCCCTAAAGTACATGCAGGTGGGGTGACTACCAGTTTAATCATGAAACTGACCCATTACCCTCCTCGCTCACACTGCTCTAAGGAAGAAATAATGTGAGTTACTATACTATACTGTGCTGTACTGTATTGTAATGTACTATACTGTACTTAAATAAAATTAGATGCACACACTATACAGTGGGGAGAACAAGTATTTGATACACTGTCGATTTTGCAGGTTTTCCTACTTAAAAAGCATGTAGAGGTCTGTAACCTGCAAAATCGGCAGTGTATCAAATACTTGTTCTCCCCACTGTATATTTTAATGATCAATTTTATTTTATTAAACATCCTCTCTCTCCCCCCACTATTTATCTTACTCATCCTCCTCTATATATCTATCTCTCTAATCTATCTCGTAATCGTCTGATATATCATCTATATCGATTATCGATCATCTGTACTTATCTAATCTCTATATTTGCTCTATATATCTATGGTCATCTTCTTCTATAATCTTCTCTCTCTATCTCTCTATCTATTTCTTCTTCTTCTATCTCTCTCTACTGTCTCTGTCTCTGTCTTATGTTCTTCCTATCTCTCTTTTCTCTCTTCTCTATATCTCTCTCTCTCTCTATCTCTGTCTCTCTTCTCTCTGTATTCTCTCTCTCTCTCTCTCTCTCTCTCTCCTCTCTCTATCTCTCTCTCTCTCTCTCTCTCTCTCTCTCTCTTCTCTCTCTCTCTCTCTCTCTCTCTCTCTCTCTCTCTCTCAATCAGTGTCACATTGAGAACCGGAGGTTTGCTCTGTCTCGACCCAAATGGGAGCTTTGCCAAAAAACAGATAAAAAGACAGACCAAAGTGTGAGTTATATGTATTGTATTGCACAAGCATGTTTAAAAAAAAAGGATTATGTTATAAAGTCAGAATTATGCTTGAATAAACTATTAAAGTTTAAATGGATTATGGGTGTGAACTACATAAATACTGCATAAATTATGTCAATGTAAATGTAAATGTAATATATGCTGAGTACAAAACATTAAGGACACCTGTTCATTCCATGGCATAGTCTGACCAGTTGAATCCAGGTGAAAGCTATGAGCTCTTATTGATGTCACTGTCAGGCTGACAAGGTAAAAATCTGTCGTTCTGCCCCTGAGCAAGGCAGTTAGCCCACTGTTCCCTGGGCGCCGATGACGTGGATGTCGATTAAGGCAGCCCTCCACACCTCTCTGATTCAGAGAGGTTGGGTTAAATGCGGAAGACACATTTCAGTTGAATGCATTCAGTTGTACAACTGACTAGATATCCCCCTTTCCCTTTCCTCTCCCTTTTGTTAAATCAATTTCAACCAATGTAGATGAAGGGGAGGAGACAGGTTAACTTTTAAGCCTTTTTGACAATTGAGACATGGATTGTGTATGTGTGCCATTCAGAGGGTGAATGGGCAAGACAAAATACATAAGTGCCTTTGAACGGTGTATGGTAGTAGGTGGCAGGCGCACCGGTTAGTGTCAATATTTGCAACGCTGCTGGGTTTTTCACGCTCAACAGTTTACCGTGTTTATCAAGAATGGTCCACCACCCAAAGGACAGCCAGCCAACTTGACACAACTGTGGGAAGCATTGGACATTGGCCAGATCCCTGTGAAACGCCTTCGACACCTCGCAGAGTCCATGCCCCGATGAATTGAGGCTGTTCTGAGGACAAAAGGGGGAGCGGGGGATGCAACTCAATATTAGGAAGGTGTTCCTAATGTTTTGAACACTCAGTGCCTACAGTGTATATACATATCAAATCAAATCACATTTTATTGGTCACATACACGTGTTTAGCAGATGTTATTGCGGGCTTGTGCTTCTAGCTCCGACAGTGCAGTAATATCTAACAAGTAATATCTAACAATTTCACAACATTTACCCACACAAATCTAAGTTATACAGTTATATATATATAAATATATATATATATATATATATATATATATATATATATATATATATATATATATCTTTACTGTCTCTCTGTGTGCCCTTGGCTTATAGAACATGGGCCATATATTTTCCCTGAATTAAGAATGGTTTGAAGCTTGACAGAGTACAGTATCTGTTCTGCCAGTATGTCAGAGGGTTAATCAGCACACCTTCTTCTCTCCTACAGAAACCAACAGCGTCAGAATCAACGTTCCATTGAGACTCTCTCCCCACCTACCACCACTAGCACTTGATCAGTCTTTGTCTGGTGCTGGAAGCTGGAAGCTGTGCCACCCTGCAACCCCTCTGCAGGCTTGCCTCTGAAGCAGGGTTGGCCCCTTGTATGGGACACCATAACCAGAACAAGTGGTGTTGGAGTGCCAGCAGGGGGCACTGTTCCCTCTGGTCCAAAGACACATAGATCCCTTTCCTAGAGTCAAATGACCTACTGGCATCATGGGTGGAATATTATTAATATGTTTCATAATTTCATAATTTATAAAGGTATATCTTTTTTTGTTGCCAAAAATCTGGTGTTTCTATGTCAAACTGTTTTGTTATATTTCAGTATTCTGTGGTGTATATAAAGTGAAATATTTGGATGCAAACTCAAAATGCAATACATTTCAACTCTATATCTGACATGGTACACGTGTCTTCTTTTTTTAAGGCCATTACCATGTGTGTGAGGTGTATACTTTTGCTTCAAATGTGGATTTGTTTAAGACTACCAAGAATCACTCTGTGTGACCCTGATTTAGCCCACTGCAGTAAAAGGTTAAATCAATGTGTCAGGACAGTTATGGGGTCATTGCCCTACTAAGAGAGCCATCCTTTTATATATATTTTATTAATGTTTATATATACAGTATATGAATAATATAATAGTATTGTTGATATAAAACATGTATTTGATGTATTTATTGGTCCTCTGTAGCTCAGCTGGTAGAGCACGGCGCTTGTAACGCCAAGGTAGTGGGTTCGATCCCTGGGACCACCCATACACAAAAAATGTATGCACGCATGACTGTAAGTCGCTTTGGATAAAAGCGTCTGCTAAATGGCATATTATTATTATATTATTATTTATTTTCATAGGTATTTCATATGTTTATATGATAGCCAGTGGTGGATAAAGTACCCAATTGTCATACTTGAGTAAAAGTAAAGATACCTTAGTAAAAAATGACTGAAGTAAAAGTGAATGTCACCCAGTAAAATACTCCATGAGTAAAAGTCTAAAAGTCTTTGGTTTTAAATATACTGTACGTAAGTATCAAAAGTAAAATATTTCACATTCCTTATTAACCAAATCAGACAGCACGATTGTCTTGTTTTGTTAGTTTTGCACACTCCAACACTAAGACAAAAAACATTGACATTTGTTTGGCAAAAACAGTAGGATAAATACACATGTGGATAGAGTCCATTCCAAAATGTACAATTCCATAATTTACATAATTTACAAACGAAGCTACTGTGTTTAGTGAGTCCACCAGATCAGAGGCAGTAGGGATGATCAGGGATGTTCTCTTGATAAGTGTGTGAATTGGACCACTTTCCTGTCCTGCTAAGCAGTCGAAATGTAATGAGTATTTTTGGTTTTGGAAAATGTATGGAATAAAAAGTAAATTATTTTCTTTAGAACTGTGGTGGGGTTAAAGTAAAAGTTGTCAAAAATATACATAGGAAAGCAAAGTACAGATACCAAAAAATGTTTTACTTGAAGATGCACTCATTGACACAGCTCTGCAGTAAAGAGCTCTAGAGTCTGATGCCCAGGCCCAGGTCAAGCTTTTGTTTCAAATTAATTGAAGCTTAAGAGCGCAGTGGCAAAAACAGGTTCACCAACGGTTAACATCATTTAAAATAAAAAATTAAGTAATTGAACGGTGTGTTTGACAATGGGTCACTTACTTTAACCATCAATTAAACATTTTAGACACATTAATAAACAGTTATGGTTAAAATTGGGAAATTGTCATTTGTGCTTGCCAAATTGTAAGCTTTGTTGAATAATGGTTTATACTGTACTTAAATGGTCATAAGCCAAACTCTTTTTCATCACATAATCTTGCAAGGGTTTCACTGTTGAAGAACATTCTCACTTGTGGATAGGATGCGTTGGTGCAATTATGTATTTATCTCAGGAATGAAGGCATCATGTCAAGGAAAAATATCTTCCCATATGCGCAACACACTCAAAATAAAAACAACCTTGAACGTGTCCCCTTGTGTTGCCACTGACTTCATGTGACAACAATTGAGTACCACAGTATGATTCATAAAACCCGGAAATGGTTACAATCGCTTTTTTATCATTCCTATTTCCATCTGTGATTTCAGAACTACTTCATAGGTCTGTGTTTCTTGTAGGTTTACCCTGGCATAACGATTTGATAACTGTGCAAATCTCTCTCCTGTACCCCTCAAGATACACTTCATTTTAACTAGCTAAATCCTGTGTAACACCTAGCAATTACATTGTACTTATGCAGGTATAACATGTACTCTGTGCTGTACTAATGTGTTTATTCTCCCACTTGGATCTTGATTCCAGAAGCTTTAAATTGAGGGCCTGGTTGTCAGGATGGGTAATGTACTTTATAAGTACACATTCATTACAATTAAGTACTCCTCAAGATACACTTCATTTTAACTAGCTAAAACCTGTGTAACAACTAATAATTAGAGGCATAGACCGTTTAGGCAACATGAATGAGGAGGATGACATTGGTGTTTCTCTAGAAATAGGGTGAGTCAACATGTCCTTTCTATTTGCACACACACACACACACACACATACACACACACACACACACACACACAAATCAGTGCCATGGACAGCCACATCATATTTAGCTGACGTTCATTGGACTAAATAGTTTTTGGTATCTTTTAGTTATCACTGTATTAGACTAAGCATAGGTGATTAGATTATGTTGAAATGTTGCTGGAATAGTGGAGGCAGCAGCTGTTTTCTTTGCGACTTGCGGTAACTCTCCGTGGTTCTAATCAATAGTTGTTTAGAAGTCCAAAAATGTCGGAAACATTAACTTGCTTGACCATGCTGTAGGTCATGTAACTGTTTGTTGAATGCAATATGTTTTGTGGACTTCACCAGACAGATGTTGCTCTCCGGTTTTGTGATCAAACAAAGGTGTGGATGAATTTATTCTGCCACTGTGTCTTCCTATTGTCTCGGCCTTTGGCCTTTACATCACAGTGTTAAGGCATATGAACTAACAGGTTACAGAGCAAACAACGCAATTATCACAACACAGGTTGTAATATGTCTTTTTATTTTACCTGGCTTGGCTTCCCCTGTGATTTTACCCACACACTGCCACTGCTTCCAGAAATGTTAAAAATGAGGGCAAGGTTGTCAGGATGGGTAATGTACTGTATAAGTACACATTCATTACAAATAAGTACCCCGCAAGATACACTTCATTTTAACTAGCTAAATCCTGTGTAACAACTAGTAACTACATTGTACTTAGGCAAACATTACATGTACTATGCTTTGAAATAATGTCTTATTCCTCATCTGGGATTACATTTACATTTTTTACATTTTAGTCATTTAGCAGACGCTCTTATCCAGAGCGACTTACATGAGCAATTAGGGTTAAGTGCCTTGCTCAAGGGCACGTCGACAGATTTTTCACCTAGTCGGCTCGGGGATTAGAACCAGCGACCTTTCAGTTACTGGCACAACGCTCTTAACCACTAAGCTACCTGCCACCCCTGGGATGACACTCATATTAGATATGTTTTCGGAAGCTCAACTAATTTAACCCATATGGTATGCTTTATTTTGGGGGCAACAACATTGACTGGAGATACAGTATATTTTTTACAATGCACATTCATGGGTAAGTAAT